CCTACTCCCCCTCTCCTCCCTGCCACTTCCCCCCCACCCCACCCCACTCCTCGTGGGGCCAGGCCGCGCTTTCCTCTTTGAAAATCACAAACATTCACATCACTCAGCTGCGGTTCCCTTGTATTTCCCACCGCCCATTCCCTGAGCGGCACCCCCGAGCCAGGCCGGGGAAATGGGCGCGTTATCCCTGAAAGACAGCCACCGAGCGACAGAGAAACAGCTGCCACTCCCGGCTTACCCCCAGCGAGGTGTTTCCCCTCGCCAAAGGCGAGATGGCCGGGTCCCTAACGCCAGGGATGGTTGAGCCCTGCTGCCAGCTCCAGGCCCTGCCGGTAATCCCCCAGGCTGCTCTGAGCCCTACAAGTGACCCTCAATAAGGGGGACCATCCTCTACAGAGAATAGTTGGGCAGCAGCCACGGGACTGCCCCAAAGTGCGGGACCTGGGGCGGCCGCCCCAAGCCATCCTATGGCTGGGACAGCTCTGTCTGTACTTCCACTCCCATACGCTGTGGGTGTCTCACTTTTCACAGGCTGGCCTCCTTCGTTCCCTGATTCTCATTAGCATGTGGGTAGACGAGTCCCCGCAGCAACCCGCTGTGACAGCATGAGGTTCCACGCAGGGGGCTAGCCAGGTGCACTGTGGCAAACACTCCGTGGACACGTTCTTTACAGTCATCCTGTAACTGGCACTCCTGCCCAGGCGGTCTGCTGCAAACTTACATGCCTCAGCCTGTAGGTCTTGCATTACCGCCTGACTTTGCTTTCACACCTAATTCATCACTCGGAAATACTTATCCAGCTCCTGTTCCTTGGGTCCCGTCCTACATCAGCCTATGCACCACCCACGGATTAGTTGTACTTAGCCACAGCACTAATCCCCCTCATAAATGGTCCAATGAACTAAATGGCGAAAGTGGCATCACCAAGTAGGAATTTCCAGTAATTCGATGATGCCTACGCCTGCCTCAGTTTCCCTCGGTACTTTGCATGGCTGCCCAAGGTGAAATCTGCTCCTGAGGCAGCAGAGGAGGCGGGAGGTGCTGTGTCACGGACCTGTCTGGGCGGTACCACTGGATTGTCACCAGACAGGCTGAACAGCGTGGGGCCAGGAGGTTGGCACTGGACCAGGAGGTGTCAGGTGGCTGGGATAAGAGCTTGCTTCTGAGAGCGGTGCAGAGCCCAGGTCTTGGCTGAGAAAGGGTGTGACTGCACTGCCTCCCTTGTTCAGGGGCTTGTTGTGCACAGGTGTAGCCGCTAGTGCCAACTAGCAGGTGTGTGGGCTACATATATACATACACTGGGACTCTGTGTGTAACTCAGCTGTGGGGAACCTAAGGCCCGGGGGCCGGATGTGGCCCCTGGGTTGCCTGGATCTGGCCCCCCAAGCTTAGGGCCTCTGCACTATTGGGGAGCCTGCGCTGGCGCTCCAGCCCCTGGCCCCCGACTGATTTTTCTGTGGGTCAGTGGCCCCCGCCCCACAAAAGGTTCCCCACCCCTGGTGTAACGCCTGCTGGGCCAGGCGCTCGGTTCCCAGTAGTGATGGCTAGGCCTTTGGGGCTGGGGGCTGCTGATCCTCAGAAAAATCAGTCGGGGGCTGCACACAAGTGAGAAGCAGAAAAACCCCCAAACCGTCAATGAGGTGGCCCCCAACAGAGAAGGAGAAAGACCCTCCCCCACCATTCCCCTTGCACATCAGAGCCGGGGGGACCCGGACTAGTGGGTTTTGTGTGATCCAGTCCCACAGAGGGATGGAGCACAGTGCAGGCTCCTCAATGCTGGGGGGAGCCCTGAGCCTTTGGGGCCAGATCCAGGCAAGGCAGGGGCCCCATCCAGCCCCTGGGCCTGAGGGTCTCCATCCCTGCTGGAAGCTGAGCACTTGGGCAGCTGCCCAGGAGAGATTCAAGTGCTGCCCAGCTGATTACCCACAGCCGGCAGGATGTTTCTATGGATGGTCCACATCTACATTTTTGTCAGTGCACAGGACAAAATTTATTCTGCACACATGGAAAGAGGTTGGCTGTGTGTCTCTGCTGACTGCTATTTTTAGCAGTGGAGGCTGGCCTAAGGAGGCCCTGATGTGATGTAGTGGGGGTGCTGTCTGCTTTGTAACCCAGTGTTCCCTCCTGGCTGTGTGATTCCCATTGACTCCTGTAGTGGCCCACACACCTATAGGACCAGCCAACAAGGTACAAGGCTCTTCCCCAGAGACAAAGCAGAGATGGCCACCAGGTTGCAGGGGGGAGAGGGCCTGGGAGGTGGGCAGGCATGGAGAAAGCAGACTAAGTCCAGTACAGCGTTGTGAACCCTTCCCCCCGGGAGAACTAAGGCTATTTGCCCTGGCTCCTATATATCTCATAGAGCTGGAAGGGACCTTCAGACATCATCAAGTTCGGTCTCCTGCCACCACATCAAGACCAAGCACCATCCCTGATAGATTTTCCCTAGCTCTCTATCTGGCCCCCTCAAGGATTGAACTCACAGCCCTGGGGTCAGCAGGCCAATGCTCAAATCAGTGAGCTATCCCTCCCCCTGCTGTGGGTGCAGCCAGCCTGTGCTGTGCTGTGTCTCTGAGACACAAAAAAACCCTCCTACTCTACTGCCTGACTCAGAGTCACCTCTGGCTGTGGACGGGGGGTGCAGGGTCAGGGGCTCCCCGATGCATTGTCACACACTCCTATGCAGTATTCTTCAACAGGTGCCCCTTTGCTCCACTGAGGGGGGCCCCTCCCCCGGGTGGCTCCACTGACCCGTGTGTTAAGGGGGCACAACCGGGAACCCTCAGATCCCCCTCCCCATTGGTGACACACACAAATGTGTGAGTGTGTGTGATGTGTGAGAGCCAATGAGCCCCCACAGCCACTGTGAGACCCGCCCTTCCCCACCCGGGTGGGTGTTTCCCTCCTCTTGGCTCCAGAGACGGAGCAGCACAGGCAGGCCGGGTCCGGGGAGGGGCTCCACTCCGGGGCGGGGTGGCCT